CTTCCGCTCAGCCTTCCAAGTAGCTGGAACTACAGGTGCGCGCTACCACGCCCGGCTAATTTTTTGATTTATTGTAGAGATTAAGTCTCGCCAAGTTGTCCAGGCAGGTCTCGAACCGCGGGCTCAGGCAATCCACTCACCTCGGCCTCCCAAAGCGCGGGATTACAGGCTGAGCCACCAAGCCCGACCAGTATTAAATTTTAATAAAATTCATTTAATCTTCACCTTGTGAAACAGGTTCCTGACTGTTTTTCAGATGAGAAATATGAAGCAAAGAGGATAAACAGTGTTGTATATACAGTTTTTCACTGTATATTTTGAAGCTTTTTTCTTTTAGAACTTTAGGTTGCATGTGTGGCGAGTTTTACCCAGGAGGTCCAGCACTATTCTCTGTCTCTCTGATTAAAAGAATGAGCTCCAAGCCGGGCTCGGTGGCTCAGCCTGTAATCCCGCGCCTTTGGGAGGCTGAGGTGAGTGGATTGCCTGAGCCCGCGGGTTCAAGACCCGCCAGGGCAGCAAGACCTCATCTCTACAATAAAATAAAAAAATCAGCCGGGCGTGGTAGCGCATGCCTGTAATTCCGGCTACTCGGAAGGCTGAGGCGGAAGGATCGCCGGAGCCCAGCAGGTCGAAGCTGCGGTGGCCGGGAGCGGCCACTGCACTCTAGTCTGGGCTACCGAGTGAGACTCCAACTCAAAAACAAAAACAAAAACAAAAAGAATGAGCTCTGGAGCCAGGATGCCTGGTTTAAATCCCAGTACTACTACCTACTCCTGGGTGCTCTTGGGCAAGTTACTTTACTTTACTGTGCCTCTGTTTTTTTATCTGCAAAATGGTGATAATAATAACTACTTTATAGGGTCATTTTGAGGATTAAATTATTATTAACAATAAGCAAGAGCTTAGAATACTGCCTTGCTCAAAACATGCTAGCTTTTATTGTTGTTAACATAGCCACACATCTAATGTATAATGCTCTAAAAAATAAAGCTACTACATATAAAATTAACTTATATAAAATGTAATATCTTTGAAATAAACAGGTTTTTATCAGCCTTTCTCTATTTACTAAATTACCAAAAAAGGGGTGGTGGTAGTGGGGGAAACTGATTACAAAGGAAACTGAAAGAAAAATTAAGCCGGAGGTGGTGGCTCAAGCCCCGTAATCCCTGCACTTTAGGAGGCCAAGGCAAGAGGATTGCCTGAGCCAAGGGTTCGAGACCAGCCTGGGCAACTTGGCAAGACTTCGTCTCTATAATAAATTTTTAAAAAGACAATAGCTGGGCGTGGTAGCGCGCGCCTGTAGTTCCAGCTACTTGGAAGGCTGAGGCAGAAGAATCGCCCGAGCCCAGTATGTCAAGACTGCAGTGGCTGTGAGTGTGCTACTATACTCCAGCCTGGACAACAGAGTGAAACTCCTACTCAAAAGAAAAATTAAAATAATGTCAAGGTATAGTACAGCTCTTTTTTTTTTTTCGGCTCTACAATAGCAGAACTGATCATACTTAGACAGAAACAGTTCTATCTTAATAAAGAACTTTGCGGCTGGGCTCGGTGGCTCAGCCTGTAATCCCGCGCTTTGGGAAGCCGAGGTGAGTGGATTGCCTGAGCCCGCAGGTTCGAGACCCATCTGGGCAACTTGGCGAGACCTCATCTCTACAATAAATCAAAAAATTAGCTGGGCGTGGTAGTGCACGCCTGTAATTCTGGCTACTTAGAAGGCTGAGGTGGAAGGACCGCCAGAGCCCAGCAGGTTGAGGCTGCAGTGGCCGGGAGCGGCCACTGCACTCTAGTCTGGGAGACAGAGTGAAACTCCAACTCAAAAAAAAAAAAAAAAAAGAACTTTGCTACCTCATAAAGTAATCCAGCTTGCTTAAACTGACACTCCTGCCTGATACAGATGTAATTCTGGCACACTGAATTCTTTTTCATCAAATTCAAGCTGACTTTCAACTATCTACTAATAAGTTATGCAAAAGAAAAATTACTAAAAATAACAAAATTCAATAAATTAAAATTAGTCTCCCAAGACTAAAACCATATTTTATTTTTATTTATTTGTTTTTTTGAGTCTTACTCTTGTCACCCAGGCTGGAGTGCAGTGGCACACTCATGGGCACCTCAGTGTCGACCTGCTGGACTCAGGTGATCCTTTCGCCTCAGTCTTCCAAGTAGCTGGAACTACAGACGCATGCCACCATGCCTGGCTAGTTTTTGTGATTTATTATTTATTTATTTATTTTTTTGAGTTGGAGTCTCACTCTGTCGCCCAGACTGGAGTGCAGTGGCCACTCCCGGCCACCGCAGCCTCGACGTGCTGGGCTCTGGCGATCCTTCCGCCTTAGCCTTCCAAGTAGCTGGAACTACAGGCATGCGCTACCACGCCCGGCTGATTTTTTGATTTCTTATAGAGATGAGTCTCGCTGCCCAGGCGGGTCTCGAACCCGCGGGCTCAGCAATCCACTCACCTCAGCCTCCCAAAGGCGTGGGATTACAGGCTGAGCCACCGAGCCTGGCTTTTGTTATTTATTGTAGAGATGAGGTCTCACCAAGTTTTCCAGGCTGGTTTTGAACCCCCCGGACTCAGGCAATCCTCCTGCCTCGGCCTCCCAAAGTGCTGGAATTATAGGCTGACCTACCATGCCCGGCCAAAAAATATTTTAAGTCACTAGACATCCTGTCCTCTAAGAACTGAGGGTTAGAAAGGAGAACAAAGAAGACAGGCTAATGTGATACCAAGGCAAAACATAGTGATTTGGGAGTTAGGTAGATCTGGTTCAAATCCCAGCATCATTTGTGCTCCACCACTCTCTAAATCTCTGGCATTTCACCTATATACAGGATGATACCTACTTCCCTGTGATGTGGTAAGGATGAAATGAGATAACATAGACATAGAAAATCAATACAACACTTGCCATTCAGTAAGTACTCAATAAATGCAACTGTTATTACTGTGCTTAGGGGCATGGACAGGTGGTTCTAGAAAAGACAAGAGGGGGCACAGAGCAACTTACGTGGGCACCTGGGTGCCAGCGGAAATGACGCTGAGTCCCAAGGATGTTGCCAGCATGAACATAGTGACCTAGAAGAGAAGTCCGCAAGTGTGCTGACTCTAGGCCCCAGCGATGGGCAGATCAGCAAACTGCCAAGAAAACATGATGCCACTATGCTGACACACCAGTCTGCCCCAACCAACACCTCCCAGGTGGTCCAACAGAAGTAGCACCTGGTTCCCCACCCAGCAGTCCTTGTCTCTAGTCACATGGCTAGGGTTCACACCTACACACTCCTCCTCAGCTCCCCAGACCCTTCAAGACTTATCTGCCCCTTTAATCTGGAGCCAAATGCTGTGGTGAACAAAGCAGAAAGGACTGGGCCAGACACAGGCAGGGTTTTTCTGCTCTCCCTAAGAGGCAGCAGGGTGGAGGTGCAGCTGGGAAATACAGGCCAAGGCACAGCCTCACCTTCCATTTTCTTGATGCCGTAGCGTCTGCCTGAAGACTTTCCACCGAGGTTTTTAGAGCTGCCACCTGTCTTCTTGGATGCATACCTGACAGCAAGAGCTGTAGCTGGAGGGGGCCTCAGCAAGGAAGTAACTGCAGAGAATTCAGAAACTGTTTAGACAGAGGCTCCCAAGCAGACCCTCTTTCTCTGCCTTAATGGCCCACTTACTAAACTGAGAGGTGGCGGGGAGGCGAGAAAGATATACAAGGGGAGCAGAAATGCCACTTGAGTGCATTTGTTTTCAGGGGCCACCTAGAAGTTCTTGGCCTTCTCCCACAGCAGAGGACAACTCACTCCTTGTATTGTCCAGGGTGTAAGCACTGTGTTGGGGGGGAGGCGAGTGGAAGGGAGCAGTGAAATATAAATGAAAAAAAATGTGGTCTGGGTCCCGACACATTCTTTTCTATTTATTTATTATTAAGTCAGAGTCTCACTCTGTCGCCCAGGCTGGAGTGCCTAGTGGCACGCTCATGGCCACCGCAGCCTTGATCTGATGGGCTCAGGTGATCCTTCTGCCTCAGTCTTCCAAGTAGCTGGAACTACGGTGTGTGACACCACATCCAGCTAATTTTATGCTTTATTGTAGAGATGAGGTCTCGCCATGTTGCTCAGGCTGGTCTCGAACCCCTGAGCTCAGGCAATCCTCTTGCCTCCACTTCCCAAAGTGCTGTCATTTCAGGCATGAGCCATCGCGCTTGGCTTACATTCCATCTTAATGTGTTGAGGACCAAATACTCCAGAGAAACACAAGAAGTCAGAGAGGACAACACAGAGCAGCCTACTTCAGAGCCTCACTCACCCTCCTGCCCCTTGGAGGGGCCAGACCACAGACTCGGAGGACCCAGCAACAGGACACCCAGAGAGAGCCTTCTGCTTCAGCCTCACCCACCACTTTCTTAGCTATCCACTCATTCACTGCATACCAGGCACTTGTAAACAAAAAGGGCAGCTGTCTGAAGCTGGTTCTCACAGATGCCAGCCATTTCAGAAGGCTAAGCCCTTTCTTCCCAAAGCCCATCAAGCAGAAGTCCACACACTGCCATTGTTAATCTGACTGCTCCATATTCATTCCAAAGTACTCAACGGCATTTATTTTAAAAGGAAAATGAATTAAAATTCATACTAAGATAGAAGCCTCTTGCTGTATGACAAGCCTAGGGTTGGCAGTCCTTGCCTTCAGTTCTCCAGACAAAGCCATGGTTTAAAGACCACAACAGGATCTTTAGAAAACCTTTGTGGGTCTCTGAAGCCTGTGAATTCAGAGATCCCAAAGTCTAGGTTTCTGACATTTTCAAAAGAACAGAGACTAGCTAGAGCAAAGGACCAGAGATAAGGACTTAGAGAGACAACACGTTAAATGCCCAGCACCAGGATCCACCTGCCTTTAAACATCTATTCATTCATTCACTCATACAATAAACACATGATATTGAAACAGAAAAAAGCCTAACTGGGAGCCCCAGAGCTTTTGCTTTACCTACAATAAGTCATTCACAAATCTTTGCTCTTTGACATACTCCCCAGTCTCCTCCTAAAATCAGTGGTATCACCATCTATCCAGCTGCTCAGGCAGAAACCAGAGTCACTGCAGATTCCTTCTTTCCTTGCCAAACATGTACAGTTCACCAGCAAGCTCTGGTAGATTCTTCCTCCAAAATAGATTTCAAATCCATCCGCTTTCCTCCAAATTCTCTGCCACCACTAACATCTTGGTTAAATCATCTCTCATTAGGCTACAATTCTAGCTTTCCTTGTTTCCACTTCTACTCTCTCAAATTTACTTAAGAGCAATAATTTGCTTCTCAAAATATGAAACTAGATCAAGTCACTCTCCTGCGCTCCTCACTCTACACAGGGCTAGGCATTCCGTCACGCTTTAGGTCTTTTTTTATTTTTATTTTTTGAGTCGGAGTCTCACTCATGTCCAGGCTGGAGTGCAGTGGCACGCTCACGGCCACCGCAGCGTCGACCTGCTCGGCTCAGGCAAACCTTCCGCCCCAGCCTTCTCAGTAGCTGGGACCACAGGCACGTGCCACCACGTCCGCCCGGCTAATTTTTTGATTTACTGTAGCGGTGAGGGCTCGCCAAGTTGCCCAGGCTGGTCTCGAACCCGTGGGCTCAGGCAATCCTCTCACCTTGGTCTACCAAAGTGCTGGGATTATAGGCAGTGAGCCATCGCGCCCTAGCCTTTGGGTGTGAAATGTTATCTCCTCAGAGGACTTCTTCATCCAATCTAAAGAAAGACACACTTTTTCTTCACAGAACTTGGCACAGTTCACAACTATTTTACTTATGTGTGTTTATTACTAGCTTATCCACTAGAAAGAACCGTCCGGGGGCTAAAGGCCATGTCTTCACGTTTTCTGATTTTCTGTACCACAGTGGCTGGCCCAAAGACCTCAGTGTGTTGAATGAGCAGATGAACTTTCGGAGCTCCAATGTGCCAGAGTTATTCATCCTTTTTACGGATGAAGGGATCCACACAAACCCCAACCGCCAGGGAAGCCGTTAATAGTTTAGATGCAGAGGAAGGACAAGTGCTTCACAAACTCCTGCACCCCTGGTGGCTCCAGCCAAGATATGTCACTAAATCGACGACAGCGCCCTCAAACCTCACGTGCACCACGCATTTCCCCTCGCATCCAGGATCCTCCGCGGGAACCGGTGTCCACCCCTCGCCCTCCCTGTTGGCTCTTAACCCCGCCTCCACCCTCGCCCTGATGTGGCTACGGCGTCCCGTTACCGGCAGCCCGCGTCCTCAGCGCCAGCACGGCCGACGCCATGTTCGCCTTACATTCGCTTCCGGTCTCGGAAAGGTTCTGCTTCCGCTACCGGGAGTCTACTTCCGTTTCCTGCGCAGCGGTTGAAAGAGTGGCGGGAGAAAGTATAGGTGAGCGCGCTGGGTCGCGGGGCGGACGGCTGAGCACGGTTTCCCTCCCGAGCGCCGCTCTGCAGGGTCCTGATGGCCAGGGCGTCCGGGGCCTCTGCAGCGTCCATTGGCCTGCGAGGCGCAGAGCTTACGGGCGGGGCAGGGTCACCCGAGGCCCGGGGTGTCCGGGATGAGGCCCCTCCCTAATCTTCCAGTTTACGTCACTCAGCCAGCAGGCGCCAGGCCAGATACTGAGCTGAGCGCGGGAGGTGCATTATCTCATTTAATTCTCACAACCGTATACGCTTAGTACTATTATTCCTGTTTTACTAAAGAAGAAACGGGCCCAGGAGGTTACATGGCTCATCCTGCATCACACCTAAGGTGCTAGCAAATGTTTGTTCAAGAAAGGGGTCTTGGGCATGGCTCAGCAATATATATTCCTAGGTATATATACGCAGGAGATTTGAAAACATGCCCACACAGAAACTTGTACATGAATGTTTACAACAGCATTATTCCTAAGAGCATAATAATAATAATAATAATAATAACAACAACACTAAATGCTCAAGTGATGAATGGATTAAACAAAATGTGACATAGCCACACAATGGAATATTCAGCCATAGAAAGCAATGAAGTACTGATGCATGCTACAACATAGATGAATCCTGAAGCTATTGTGCTAAGGAGCCAGACATAAAAGGCCACGTATAGCCGATTCCATGTACATGAAATATTCGGGCTAGGCAAAACCACAGAGACAGAGTAGATTTGTGGTTGCCAGGGGCTGAAGGGAGGGAGGAAATGGGCAATGACCACTTAATGGCTATGGGATTTCTTCTTGAGATGATGAAAGTGTTATGGAATTAGATAGCCGTGATGTTCACACAACATTGTGAATATACTAAAAACCTCTGAACTGTACAGTTGAGGATGAATGTTATGGTATGCAAATTATGTCTCAATTTTTAATAAGGATGAGTTTGGACATCTTCATTTCAAATGAGATCAACAATGGAGTGGTGCTGAATTTTGTTACTACCCCCATTAAAATTTTTTTTTTTTTTGAGTTGGAGTCTCACTCTGTCGCCCAGACTGGAGTGCAGTAGCCGCTCCCAGCCACCGCAGCCTCAACCTGCTGGGCTCCGGCGATCCTTCCGCCTCAGCCTTCCAAGTAGCTGGAACTACAGGTGCGCGCTACCATGCCTGGCTAATTTTTTGATTTTTATTGTAGAGATGAGGTCTCGCCAAGTTGCCCAGGCGGGTCTCAAACCCGCAGGCTCAGGCAATCCACTCACCTTGGCCTCCCAAAGCTTACAGGCTGAGCCACTGAGCCCGGCTCATTAAAATTTTTAATAGTAATTCTACTTTGTTTATACCTCACCTTGACCTAGAAGGGTTTGAGGAGGATTCCTGTTAGACTACAGGGAGTTATAGTTCCAGATTAAATGTGTTGGGACCATGTTCAATTTCTGTTTCTCTCTTCTTTGTATCTCGGGTTTATCTTCATAAAGCTTGGCTATAGAACACATCTAGTGGACTGAGTTGAGTGTGCCAATCTGTGTCTCATCTTTCTTTTCCTTTTAGGGAATTGATTAGCTAGCACATATTGATGGCTCTAAAGAAGTCATTACTATCACTGGATTCCAGTGACAGTGACTCTGAGGAGTTACCAACATTTGCCTTTCTGAAAAAACAACCATCTTCAACAAAGAGGCAGTCTCAAAGGGAAGAGAAGATTATAGTGGTTGACATCTCTGATTCTGAAGTCTCCTGTCCTCCACTAGGGTTGAAAGATTCACCACCTGTCCCAGGGACAGCTGAAACTATTACACAGACAGAGGCAGGCAGGGCGCCAAGCAGTGGAAGTGAGGATGAAGAGGAATTTATTCCCCTGGCAGAGAGGCTTGCATGTAAGTTTCTGACCCACAAGCAGCTGAGCCCTGAGGCCTCCAGCTCCCCAATTAAAAGTGTTTTGGATCATCATAACAATGAAGGAAAATCATGTGACAGGAAAAAGCAGCCCTCACCAAAGATCTCTGATGTTCCCCTTCATGGTACACCAGATAAGAGTACATCAGATAACAAGGACCCTATCTTAGACAGTCCGTGCTGTTCGCTTCTAGCCTACCAGTCTGTCTTCCCTGTCCAGAGTGACAGCTTGACAGTAACCAGGACAAATTCTGACATCCTTCTACCTCGAAAGAAGACCAAGCATAGTGAGAAGGCCCAGGGAAAAGGCTTGCAGGGATGCTGGCAGCAGAGACAAACAAGCCTGAAAGAAAGCACCCTGAGACAACCAGAAAGAAAGAAGAAGGCAGCCCTGGTTAACAGGGTGAAAGCCCAGAGGCCAGAGGAATGCTTAAAACACATCATTGTGGTGCTGGATCCAGGTTCTCCTCGCATCTGTCTTCACTCTATGCTGAGTTGTCTGCTTTCTGGACCACCCACTGACAGTCCTTTCCTATCTGTTGCAGTGCTTTTACAGATGGAAGGTGGGGGCCGGGTCCTCGGAGCACTGCAGTCCATGGGGTGCCGCTGTGTGATTGAGGCACAGGCCGTGCCTTGCAGTATCACTTGGAGAAGGGCTGGGCTTTCTGAGGTAGGGGTTTTCTGGCTGACATCTCTTCTCCCCATAGAGTTACAGGATAAATATGCTCTTGTTTTAAGAGATATATATATATCTCCATCAGTCAGGGCCCCAGCAGGAAAACAGATGACACACTCAACTTAGGATAATTTAAGGAAGGTTTAATAAAGGGACTGTTTTCCAGGGTATGGGCAGGGTAAAAGGAAACTATAAGAGACAGCACAGTGCTTCAGGAAAATAACAGTGTAACTTGGGGTTTCTCGACCTCAGTACTATTGATATTTTAGATCAGATAATTCTTTTTGTGGGGGCTGTCCTGTGATTCACAAAATGTCTAGCAGGATTCCTGGCCACCAGATGCCAATAGCACCTGTCTCAGTTGTTAGAATCAAAAATATCTGCCAGCTACTTGGAAGGCTGAGCAGAAAGATCACCGGAGCCCAGCAGGTCGAGGCTGTGGTGGCCAGGAGCGGCTACTGCACTCCAGTCTGGACGACAGAGTGAGACTCCAACTCAAAAAACAAACAAAAAAAAAATCTGTCCTTTGTGAGGAAAAAAAATCACCTCTGGTGGAGAACCACAGGCATAGCTGTTAACAGTTAAGGAGAAAGAAACTCAGAGAAGTCTACCTTGAGAGAAGCTTTGACCTTCAGTAGAGGGGTGGAGCAAATCCTAGTGACCCCATTGGGTGGGAGCCAGAGGAAGAATAGCTGATTTCACTTTCCTTCCTTCCTGTCCTTGACTGGGGTTCCCCACCAGTCACACCCTGCTGGAAGCCAGAGGCCATGTGGCCCTTGTGATGTCTGGAGAGGTCACCTCCTCAGGCAGAGAGCAGAGTGCAGCAGAGGAAGATCATCTGCACAGGGTTCTTGGTTCTCTAACTGGGCTTTGGGAATGGAGAGGTTTGTGTTTGAATCCCACATTCAAAGCCTTATTGCCATGGCCCTGGGCAAGTTATTACCTTTGTGTTTCGGCTGCCTCATATATAAAATGAGGACACAAAATTAGCTGGGCGTGGTGGAGCGCCTGTAGTTCCAGCTACCCTGGAAGGCTGAAGCAGAAATATCGCCTGAGCCCAACAAGTCGAGGCTGTGCTGGCTGTGAGCGTGCCATGCACTCCAGCCTGAGCAACAGAGTGAGACTCCAACTCAATAAATAGATAAATAAAATGAGGACACTGTTGTGGTGACAGTGAAATCCCCGACCCAGCACATCATAGGCACACAGTAGGCGTTCCTTTCCCTATCCAGCTCAGGTATAGTTCCTGTACCTAGCACTTTTCTTATCTATGAATCCAAAATACTCCACCCCTCATTTTCAGGAGTTGTAGATGAAACGTTAAGATTTTTTTTTCATCTCACCAAAAGTATATTTTTTAAAAAAAGATTTGTTCTCTTTTCTGAATCGTGTAACTTTCTCAGTAACATAGGATAATTATCCACATTTTTTACTTTGGTGATATTAGCAAAACTTTATATTCACAGAGCAGTTTATCTTTCTTTTTTTTATTTTTTTGGGTTGGAGTCACTCTGTTGCCTAGGCTGGAGTGCAGTAGCAGGCTCACAGCCACCGCAGCCTCGACCTGCTGGGCTCAGGAGATCCTTCCACCTCAGCCTTCCAAGTAGCTGGAACTATAGGCACTCACCACCATGCCTGGCTAATTTATTTATTTATTTTTATTGTAGAGATGAGGTCTCACCAAGTTGCCCAGGCTGGTCTCGAACCCATGGGCTCAGGCAGTCCTTTCACCTCTGCCTCCCAAAATGCTGGGATTATAGGCTTGAGCCACAGTGCCTGGCCAGTTTATCCTTTCAAGACACTTCTGCATTCTCCCATGTTTGGATCTCAGTTATCCTATAAGGGAGGCATTCTCCCCACACCACAGGTGGGGAACTGGGGCTCAGAGAAGTCAAAGGCCTTGTCAAGGATCATAGCCCGATCTAGAACCCAGAGCTCCTCCCCCTACTCTGCACTGTATTATGGGTCTTGCTTTTGCTTACAGGGACTCAATCAGAAACCTTTCTACAGTCCTGCACCCAGTTATTCCATAAGACTGTTCCGCTGTAGAACTGTTGGCTTGAGGCAACCTTTGTATTGATCATGCTCTAGCTATGATGAAGCAGAGATGCTCTCACAGACTGAGGTTTCCCTTAGGAAACATTCTTAGGATTCTTATCTTTGTCACATAAACTGTGTTTGTAAGGGCTACTCAGTTAGTAGTAACTACCTTCAAAGCCATAGTCTTTATTTGCACTAAATCCTTTGGAAGAGTTTCCCTTCCCTCCACTTCCCTACTCAAAATGCATGGAAAATACCAGCAGTTATCGCTCACCCTCTTTCAGCTTGCTAACGTTCCTTTTTATTCACCCTCTCTGAGGTGCAGGGCACTGAGGTTGAACAATTGAGGGCCGAGGAGGGACAGGATCATGGGTGGTTGTTTCTTGCCATCATGACTTCATTCAAGAAGGAAAAGGATAATGTCAAGAGGCAGGAGTGAGTTCATTCAGCTGGAGGACCCGGGCTACTCACAGGAGCTCAGTACCTGCTGACCTCCCTCCCAGTGCTGTGTTCTGGGTCCTTTGGCAGGATGGAGAGGACTGGGTGGAGGAGCCAACAGTCCTGGTGTTGCTCCTGGCAGAGGCATTTGTGTCCATGATCTACAGCGCAAAGCAGGTAGGCAGAGCCAGCTGGTGGGGGCTGAGGTGTGGAAGAGAGGGCTGACTCTTACTGGGGGGCAAGTATTAATGCAGTTTCTGTCACTTGGTGCAGGGAAGTCTGGACCACACAGAGAAAGCAAAGGAAACACTTCAGGACTTTGTAACTGACATCACAGCAAGGACAGCAGGAAAAGCTCTGTCACTGGTGATTGTGGATCAGGAGAAGTGCTTCAGGTTTGGATCCGTCCTGTCCTGGAGACTTCATGTTAAAAGGGGCAGTTCTTGGGCTACAGGGTGAGTTTATTCACCCTAGGTATGGGTCACTCTGCAAGGCAGCCTGTCCCTGACAAGCCCTGTGGGGTGCTCTGGTATAACCTTCTTGCATCTCTTCTGCCCGGGCGCAGCCTGGCACTGCTGTCCTCTGATTTCTTCCTCTGCTCCAGTGCTCAGAACCCTCCAAAGAGAGGGAAACAGCAAGTAGTACGTAAACAGGCCAAGGAGAAGCAGCAGAGACAACCTGAGGCCAACACAAGGTCCGTGGTGTCCAGGATAGACATGGAAGAGGTAAGGATGTCCTGTTGCCTTAGTCAGGCTGGGTGCTCACAGGCCCTCTAACCAGCTTTGCTATTATAGAGAACAAAATGCACACTGCACACTGCTTTCTGCATTGGCACTGAGCAGGAGAGAAGGCACCAAAAGGAAACAAGGGGCTGGGGTGTGGCTTCAGGGTTAGCGAGAGGACGTCCACCTCGTCTTGCTCCACCCCTGCAGCCCATCACAGCTCTTGGTTGGGTTCCAGGCACTGGTGGATCTGCAGCTACACACAGAAGCCCAAGCTCGCATTGTGCAGAGCTGGGAAGAGCTGGCTGACTTCACATGTGCATTCACAAAGGCTGTGGCTGAGGCACCCTTCAAGTGAGTCTACCCCCGACCTTCTGCCAAGTCCAGCCTCTGTGCTGGGCCTTGTCCTGTACCATGACCCTTACAGCCAAAGAAAATGTCCCTTTCCCATATTTCTGCAGTCAGCCCATTGTCTCTAAAGCTTGAAGCAGGAGCTTACCTCATTCTGGAGATTCTTGGGAAGAGCCTCAGGCCCAGGCCCTTTGAAAACACTCCTGGCCAGGCTCGGTGGCTCAGCCTGTAATCCCAGCACTTTGGGAGGCCAAGGTGAGTGGATTGCCTGATCCCGAGGGTTCAAGACCTGCCTGGGCAACTTGGCGAGACCTCATCTCTATAATAAATAAAAACTAGCCGGGTGTGGTAGTGCGCGCCTGTAGTTCCCGCTACTCGGAAGACTGAGGCAGAAGGATCGCCGGGGCCCAGCAGGTCGAGGCTGCGGTGGCCAGGAGCGGCCACTGCACTCCAGTCTGGGTGACAGAGTGAGACTCCAACTCAAAAAAAAAAAAAAAAAAAACACTCCTTTAAGTCAGGCTGGGTGGCTCAGCCTATAATCCCGCACCTTTGGGAGGTGAGTGGATTGCCTGAGTCCGCGGGTTGGAGACCCACCTGGGCAGCGAGACCTCATCTCTACAATAAACAAAAAATCAGCTGGGCATGATAGTGTGCGCCTGTAATTCCGGCTACTCGGAAGACTGAGGCGGAGGATCGCCGGAACCCAGCAGGTTGAGGCTGCAGTGGCCGGGAGCGGCCACTGCACTCCAGTCTGGGTGACAGAGTGAGACTCCAACTCAGAAAGAAAAAAAAAAAAACACTCCTTTAGCTTCTGTGAGTGTGTGTTCTGCAGGTTGTTGCTGGGTTACCAGTAGGCATTTTACCAGGATTCATTACAGGTCGGATCACAATGCAATAAGCCCAAGCAGAGCAAACTTTTAGCCTACTTAGTTCAAGGAGTGATCATAGTCAATTTAAAATGAATAAAGGACCTCAGAGGCAATCCAGTCCAAGTTCCTCATTTTATACTTGAGGGAACTAAGGCCTGAAGAGGTTGACTTGTCTAAGTTCCTAGCAAGTTAGAATCAGAAACAGACTTGACTGCCAGATACCTAGTCTCTTTTGCTTACCTCTGTGCACACTGCTTCCCTGGGCAATGTAGCCATCACAACAGAAGCAAACAAATCTGGTACCTTCTCTTCTAGTGAAAAGAACTAGATGTAATTTTTAAGGGAATCAGCTACTAGCATTATGTTTGGGAACAAAGTGAACACTCAAACTGCTCAAGGCTCAAGTAGGTCAGACATTGCGTCCACCTCTTCTGAGGTCAGTGGAGAGAGAGTTTTTCAGGTCCCAGCTGAGGAACAGACGGAGAGTAACAAGCAACTCACAGCCCAACTGTGCTGTCTACAGGAAGCTCCGAGATCAAACTAGCTTCTCCTTCTGCCTGGAGGGTGACTGGGCTGGTGGAGTGAAGGTGGACCGCTCTGGCAGAGGACTCGCCCTGGTCTGGAGGAGACAGATTCAGCAGCTGAACCGAGTCAGCCTGGAAATGGCCAGTGCTGTTGTGGATGCCTATCCCTCCCCACAACTCCTGGTACAGGTATGCCACCCCTGGGGTCACCGCCCAGTGCTCTGTGGTCTCGGGGCCCCCAGATGATGTCCATGGACTGCACTGTGGTGCTCCCAAGAAGGCCCCAGTCAGCAGTGTGGGTTTGCTAAGATCAGAATTGTTGACGCCAACCCAGGGGAGGACAGGTTCTTATTCTCTGGCATAAGCTCAGTACTTTCATTGTTCAAGGAGGATGGATAACCGCAGATGGTACTGTATTCAGAGGTCATTTACCACTTTCAGGCTTATCAGCAGTGTTTTTCGGAGCAAGAACGCCAGAATTTGCTTGCAGACATACAGGTACGCCGGGGGGAAGGTGTGACAGCCACCTCCCGCTGTGTTGGGCCAGAGCTGTCCAGGCGCATCTTCCTTCAGATGACTGCTTTACATCCAGATCTTTCTTTAGAGAGTGCTGAATGATGCTAGCCCTCAGAGACAAGACTGAAAGGCCGGAGACTGTCAACTCCCCAACCTAAAAACCTGGCTGCAATGAAGAGACAGGCACAAGCCTGGGTGAAGCTGAGTTTCATGGTTTGTGAAAGCCTCCCTCTCTGTTATCCCAAGGCAGAAGACTGAAATACAAAAATCAGCTGCCCCGTCAGTCCTCAAAACACAAAGAATCAAAGACAGACCACTCAGACATATTTAATAATTGTAGAAATCCAAAAGAACCAGCATCAAATCTTGAAGTCGTGAGTGAACCTGTGGGTTGGCTTGACTAGGCTCAGCCATTGCGCTGCCTCAACCAGCCAGAGAATGGGGTAGATGACTATGCTGACTTCTAGATTGTCTTAATCTCACTGTATGTATTTTGTTTCAATAAAGCATTTGTCCCAGTGGCTCTGGAGCTTGGAGGAAGACTAAAGGAATGTGTAGTGATTGAGTAAGGTGTGGACCTACATGGCAGAGGTATGCTGGGGGGAGGCTAACAAAGTCCTTTCTTCCAATAGCAATTCAGGCATGAGTGGTAGTTGTGTCTAATTGGGCCACTAGGGCTACAAGGCTGGACCCTGCCCTCTTTGTCTCTGAGCTGTGACAAGTTCTCACCCCTCCCAGGAGGGGCAAGGGACTTGCAGTTGGGAGTTTTCAGTGAATGAGCACCACGACACGGTCACTTCTGATCCCTCTAGTCAGCTGTTGTGAAAAGATGAGGCAAAAGAGGCAAGATGCTGAATCTAGCAGACAGGAGGATGGACTGTGCTGCCCTTGTCTATGCTAGTCACTAGCTGGTGCATCACTTCTCAGCTCCATGATGCTACTGGTTTCCCTTCGTTTCCTGTTTCCATTCATTCATTCCCTTCAGTTATAGTCTAGAATCAAAAAATTCTAAATCTCAGTGCCTAAGAAGCTGATGCTTCAAAACCTGCAAAAAACAGGTTGCCTTTGAGGTATTTGGTCACACCAAGTAGTAATAAAAACAGCTTTATTAGCTGGGCTCGGTGGCTCAGCCTGTAATCCCGCGCCTTCGGGAGGCTGAGGTGAGTGGACTGCCTGAGCCCGCGGGTTCGAGACCTGCCTGGGCAGCAAGACCTCATCTCTACAATAAATCAAAAAATCAGCCGGGCGTGGTAGCGCATGCCTGTAATTCCGGCTACTTGGAAGGCTGAGGCGGAAGGATCGCCGGAGCCCAGCAGGTCGAGGCTGTGGTGGCTGGGAGCGGCCACTGCACTCCAGTCTGGGCAACAGAGTGAGACTCCAACTCAAAAAAAAAAACCAGCTTTATTACTAGCTTTGCAAAGACCCACCTCCTTGCTTACTGGCAAATGGGGAGTTAATGCTCTGAACAGAGGCAAGGAGCCTGTATTTTGCCATTGTATGGAAGCCATGTAAGCTGGGGCAGGACTCCACAGGAGCTGCCCAAACCCTGATGGCATGGGATTTCTGTGAGCCAGGAGTCTGTGTACCGTGAAAATTTCTACACTTTGGCTGAGACATTCAATTCTGGTGTGAGTTCTATTCTCTCAAGACATTATAAAGGAGGCAAAATGATGTAAAGGAAAGAAAGAACACTGGAGTGGGAATCCATTTCTGCGTCAATCCAGCTAGGAGACTATAGGCAAGTCACGGAAGGCTGGGGCCTCTGTCTGGAAGTGTTATATTGGACTCATGGTTGTGAAGTCTCCTTCACAGTTGGAGAGACTTTGTAAGGTCGTTCAGATGCTTACATCTCCCTTCAGAAAATAGGTATCCCTTTATACTATATTCTTAAAAAATAATAAAAAATAAAACGGTTATTCTCCTCCCCCTATGTGGGCTGGATTCTGAGTGTGGTGTTCCCCTAGTCCCTAATAACACTTCTTCCTGATCTGCCCTGGCTACTCAGGGAGGAATGAAAGAAAGGGTTTGTGACATACAAAAGTATAAATGTGGTGACAGCTGACCATTTAGTAGAAACGAGCCTTGCCTTTACACAGCTTTGTATAGCAACAAGAAAAGCCTATGTTTTCTCTCTCCCTACCCCCAAGCCTATTCTTTTAGGCATGCAGTTAACTGCCCCCCCACCTCCCATTTCTCCTCATTCCACCAGAGAACCCTGACAAGGAACAAAGAGGTCCTATAAAGAGGTCTCAAGTACCAATCAGCAGCCATTTGATGATGGCAGTCGGTCTGAGCTAAAAAGAGGTTGTGTCCAGCAGAACCCAATTCCATAGGAATCCAAGCTCCAAGGCTGGGAGGCGCAGGTGCCAAGGCCAAGCTCACTGCTGAGAGTCGGGCTGGAGGACCCACTGGAGGATCTCATGGCGGCGCAGGCCCTGGACTGCATTGTCGTAGATGGCGTTCACACTGGTGCAGAGGGGCTGCTGCTGCAGCTCTGTCACCCGACAGACAACCAGCCCACCCGCCACACACAGCAGCAGCAGCAGCAGCAGCTTCAGCACAGCCCAGGACCGAGTGTGCTTCCGGGGTGGTGGCTTGCGGGGACGGGAGCCGGACTTGGACTCTAAAGGGACCAAGGCACAGTAGAAAAAACAAGTTTGGAGGTTGGGAAGACCCACTCTACTACCCATCTCTGCTAGTCTCCTCCATGCAGATCCACTTACATCCCCCCTCAAGCAAAAGCTTCCCAGGCCCGAGAAGAAAAATGTGCTGAGTATCTGAGCTCTTATGACTGCTTTGCTATCCAGGGACTGAAACAGAAGCGCCTTTGCCCTTGGATCTCAAGGGAGGACATCTGGAACTGGGACTCATTCTGCATGTCTCACATAGCTCACAGTCCCCAGGGTCCTCAGTTCTCCTTGGTAAAATGGTGATCCAGGCCCCTCAGGGTCCAGGGGGAGGGGCTTATCAGGAGGCAGCCAGCATAGACAGTGTTGCCCACTTGGGGAACAGGGTTGAGATGTACTCATATTGTTAATGTTACTATTATATAACATGCATATTAAAAAGAAAGCCTGGGCCGGGCTCCGTGGTTCAGCCTGTAATCCCGCGCTTTGGGAGGCCGAGGTGAGTGGATTGCCTGAGCCTGCGGGTTCGAGACCCACCTGGGCAATTTAGCGAGACCTCATCTCTACAATAAAATCAAAAAAAAAATTAGCCGGGCATGGTAGTGCACGCCTGTAGTTCCAGCTACTTGGAAGGCTGAGGTGGAAGGATCGCTGGAGCTCAGCGGGTCGAGGCTGCAGTGGCTGCGAGTGGCCACTGCACTCCAGTCTGGGCAATGGAGTGAAACTCCAATTCAAAAAAAAAAAAGAAAGCTTGGAAGATAATATACCATATTGCAAATGTGATTGCAGCTAGGAATGGGGGATTACAGGTAGGCCACTTTCTGATATATACCCATGTCTTCTAAATTCTCTGCAATTATTATGTGTTACATTTTTAATTAGCAAAAAATTGGTTTTGAGATTTTTAGGCACAATTTTTAAAAACTTGGGGAACAGGCCATGTGCAGTGGCTCACACCTGTAATCCCAGCACTTTGGGAGGCCGAGGTGAGAGAACTGCCTGTGTCTACGGGTTCAAGACCAGCCTGGGGAACTTGGCGAGACCTCATCTCCACAATAAATCAAAAAAGTAGCCAGACATGGTGGTGTGTGCCTATAGTTCCAGTTACCCGCCACCTTGGTAGGCAGAGGCAGAAGGATCACCTGAGCCCAGCAGGTCGAGGTTGCAGTGGCCGGGAGCGTGCCACTGCACTTCAGCCTGGGTAACAGAGTAAGACTCCAACTCAAAAAAAAAAGCAAAACCTTGGAGAACATCCACAACGCCAGGAACTGCATGATCTTGCTTCCTCATTTAAACCTCATCACTACCCTACAAGCATATGATCTTCATTTTCAACAAGGAAACAAAAAACAGTGGTGAGATTAGGTGACTTGCTCAAGGCAAGGGTAAGCAGGGACAGGGACATGGGCTTCCACCTCTGCAGAGCTCCCTTCCCTCCTGTTCCTCTCCCTCAGGGGTCCCTTCTGACCCAGAGGATATCCAATCCTCCCCAATATATGGAGTCACATTGCTATGTAAACTTAATTGGACATATTCAGGTAAAACATGAAAATGTGTTTTTCTATACAACATGGCTCCCTGAATGCAGGCCAAGTGATAACCCTGGTGTTCAAGCAGAGAGTGATCTGTTTTGACTTGGAGAAAAAAAACTCAGGCAGTGCTGGCTTAATGGAGAGACTGTGCCTTATACTCAAAACATACCCAGTAAATTTCACGGATGAAGTGAGGGACTTCTAAAAAAATTATTTTTTTTAGAGATGGGGTTTTGCTATGTTGCCCAGGCTGGTCTTGAATGATTCTCCTGCCTCAGTCTCTTGAATAGCTGGAACTACACACATGCACCACAACACCTGACTGTGAGGGACTTTAACTTGGCCACATGTGATCTTTGCCTTTTTCAGTGATTTTGATTTTGGAACCTCACCCCTACAAAAAGACTTCCTGTTCTGGGAATGCTTCTAGACACATCTGGACAAGACATCTGTGGGCATTGGGGAAACAAACAGTTGGACACTGGCTTCCTAGGAGAGCGCCCCCATTCCCAGCAACCCAGCTGTTAGGGTCTTGTCTCTTTCAAGTCCTCCCCGTTCCTCACAGGCTTTCAAGGATAATGTATCTGACTCAGGTTTGCAGGCTCTCTCATTCACCTATGCCTAAAGCCATAGCAAGTCTCCACTGCAGCCCTGCTGGAACCTTGCAACAGGGAGGAGACTTACTTGGGGCCTGATTTGTCTCTTTCTTAGGTTTCTTCTCCTGCTCCCGCTTAGCTGCTTTGAGGGCATCATACTCCTTTCTTCGACGCTCCTTCTCCTCCGCCTTTTCCCGCTTCCGCAGTTCTCGCTCCTGAGCTTCCTTGGCTCGCTGCTTAGCCTCACGCTTCTTCTCCGCCTCTGCAACAAAATATACCAGAACATGACCCTCTCCCACAAATCCTCTGGCGGTTTGCTTTCCAAGGTGACTAGAAAGGTGGTTTCAGCCATGGGTCACACAACACTTATCAAAGGAAACAGCCACTTTTCTGCTCCAGGAAGTAGCCCTTCCTAAATGCAGGAAGCTGCTCAGAGTTTT